GTGTGCATAACAAACCATGGAGTTCCCGATCAAACTGGCCAAGATGATCACGGAGAAGAGGGCCAAACGGAAAATGTAGAGAGCTTTTGTTTCTTCATACTGTTCTATCCACGTACGAGATTGCTCGGTTGAGTTTGTGATGTTTGTAATGTTACCTTAAAAGGTTTAAATTACACTGTTAGATCGGAATATTTTTACCACAAGTGAGCTTTCGTGTCACTTCAAAGTTTAATGAGGTAAAAGGAACCATATTAGCTATCACTGAACAAAGAGGCTGTTTTAAAGTTTGAATATTGATGAATGTTTAGCAATTATGCCGACATTAATTAACACGCGATTATTTATGGAGCAGTGACTAAACTTTATGCCGACTTTTAACCAACAATTTCCGTTAATTGCGGTTGCTTTAAATATTTGACATCACAAAGGAGCCGATTTTTGGACGCTGCTTATATACGTTGTGCTGAAGTTGAGGCGTTGCGCCGAAAGAGACGGTAAACACATAAGAAGTAGAAATTCAGTTTTTAATCGATGCTTTCCTTGGCTTTACCGTCCTGACTGCTTATGGTCTCTAGTATCTCGATTCGTCGCGCAGTATATGAAAGATATCGTATCATGTCGAAAAAGAGCTTACCTGGAAGTAAAGAGTTCACTACACATACATTTCTTGATAACGAAAAGAACGATAATATTTCGCGTCATTGTCTTTCATCTTTTGGCCTGTGAATGACTGGGAATGAAAAATGGACATCGCAGCACTGAAATGGCTTCTTCGCGTACGTTTCAAATATACCGAGCCTTACCAAATAAAAGAAAAATCCCGAGGCGCAGAATAGTACTTTTACGGAAAATTTTAATCGACTTTGCAATAATAGCATACACGGTGAAAATTTTGCGACAATCGTTTTCGCCTCAACAACAAACTAGAACAATGGACAATACAGCTTGACCACATGGAAGTTTCCAAGTCTTCGAAGGACTTCAAAAACTCTCGACACTAAGAAACATACCAACGAAAAAAAAGATGCAACTTAGGATTCTAAATATTTCTCATTGTGCTACTGAGTGATTTCCTTCAACTACTGGCGAACATACTGCTTACCATATCGAGATTGTAAACTTGTAAAACGCATTGCACTTTAACTTCGACAGTCCTGCTGCCTTTTACCCACACTGTTTCACCCATTCAAACAAACCGGTTACGGTGGTAGATGGCTTTCGTTATTCTAGCGAAATTTTCAGTAAGCAATTCACCTCAGAAAAAGAGCAAACCTGATTCCGGCCACTAGAATGAGAAAGTACTTGGTTTAAATACAACTAGGTAAACATTACAAGCTTCTATTCATCGAACGACCAAATTTTCCATCTTTTGCATCGACAGTCTGAAATAACTCTTAACAACTTCCCAGAAACGTGCCGCGTGAATTGGTACGCATTTGGGTCTCAAATTCATTAGCAAAACAGGAGGATCAAATTCATTAACAAAACAGGAAGATCGCCACATCAAAACTTAAAGGAAAATAACACCATTCTGCACTAATTCCCAAGCGTCCAGTAAATACACTTTACAAGCTGGACACGGTTTTAGGTTACGACCGAATTTTCTCTTCGTTAAAAAAACTTTGAAGGCCGAAATTCAAGAGAGGAAAAGTAGGAAAATTGTGACAGAAATAGTCCTACAAGGTTTGCCTAAGGTTGAATAAGCTAAAATAAAATATCTTGTATCTACCTGCCATTCCCTCCTATAGTTTCGCTGCGTGCTTCAACTTATCTTTCATTGTGACAGCCGCCTGTTGACTTACAAAGCTCAACTGAAATATTAATACCCAACGGACAATTGTCACCTGCATAAAACATTGTTTCGAAAATACAATTACGCATCAGTTCTAAAGCTGTCAGGATATAAACCAATCGAAAAAGCTGAGCTTTTACGTAACTTATAATTTAGGATGACAATTTATTTCATGTTCGTTTTCATGCAGTAAAGTGTTTTAATTAGCACGTCCTACTAACTTGAAAAGTTTTGTTAAACGTAATACCTCCGATAAGAAGAAGTTCCTTGTCTCATCTTCAGTAAACTGATTTTAAAGAAACCATTTGTGAAAA